AAAAAAACTCACTAAACATGTCGTTGTGATTATTTTTTTCTGAGGGGGGGGGGCGCATTTAAGCTTTCAGTATTAAATTTTTTGTTTCTTTGCTAATCTATAGACTTTTCTAGTTCGGTAACATGAACAGTATGTTACATTTGTGAAGACTCTCTCTCCTCTTCTTCATAATTAGTTACATCAAAAAAAGAAGAAGAAAAAGATGACGATGGCAATTACAACAGAAATTATTCGTGTTGACTTCAGTCTGGAAAAAAAGTAAAGGAAAAAATTAGCTTCACTTAGCACAGTTTTACAACCATTCGCTGTTATTCTGGAAATTCGTTGTTGGGAACGGAAGAGGAAAATAGATTTGAAGGGTCTTTTGATTAGTTTTATTCTCTGATTACCACCTGTGGACAGGCAGCCAACCATTTGGTTAAGAGAATAGATGGATTACTGGTTGGGCGGACAAATCGAAGCACTGAACACTTTTCAGATGGCTTCAAAAATTTGTTGTAGAAATAACTTCATTTCTGTGTTCGTTTTACAGTGCAACACCACAACCACAAAGATTATATCAACCACAGTTTGTAAGGTTGTTGACTGAACAACAACAACAACAAAAAAAAAAAAAGTGGTAAATTTTTAAAAATTAACAACCTTAGTGTTTATTTATTTATTTATTTATTTTTTTTTTTGCAACATTTATAGAAGAAGGAATAAATTTCTGTAGGAAAAGCATTTTGAAGGGGGGTGAGTCGGAAGGGAAACAGAAAAAGAGGGAAAACGAATGAAGAGGAATGTCAGTATCGTTTTAGCATAATAATTTGCCTCTGAATATTTACTGTACAGTTAAAAAAAAAATCTTTTGGGAATTTAGTATCAATAATTTTTTTATTTTTTGCTTTTACTTAATTATTTTTTAGCTTTTAATTTTTTTTTTTTTTATTTACTCAGACCTCAACCATTAAAAAGCATCATTTTTCACACTTTTTTTTTTTTTTTGCAATCTAGAGCACACATTTGTATAGTTTAAATTACGTACATTAGTAAATGTATCATTCTGCTCTTTTCTCTCTTTTTTTTTTTTTTGTTTATGAGTCAAAATTGCTTGGCATTTGACATTTAAAAAATCTTTAAGTTTTATCTGCTGCTTTTTTTTTTTCTTGTTGTTGTTGTTGTTATCTTCGATATCGTTTCTGCTGTTTGACGGTACAGCAAAAAATTGTAGACAATAACAAAACCTTTTTGGAATAGTTACTCAAGTTGACAGATAATGATGAAAATCAGTTGATTTACAACAATTTTTGAGACAGTTGAGCAACAACAACAACAAAAAAAAGATGCCAATTGTTGCGTAGAAAAATTTTGGCTTTTGTTGAACCATAGATGGGAAAGAGAAACGGAAGGGAGAAGAGTTAAAAACCTCCTGGTTGAAGAAGGCTAACTGAGAAAGTATATTTGCCGTTACTGTTCACTGAACAAAACAGCACTGTTGGTGAACAATGGAAAAGTTATTTTGTCAGAGCAATAAAACTGCAGGTTTTTTGCATTTATTCGGTTTAACTTCTTCACATAACGTTCTGTACGTAATCCAACATTTTCTTTTTTTTTTTTTTTTTTTTGAACAGAAACCATCGCTAAAGCGATGTTTCACTTGGAAAAAAAAAAACAAAAAACGATAAGCATATTTTGTATTGGTTTTTTTTTTTAAATGCTAAAAAATTTGCAACAGTTTTGATTAGGTTTTTAAGTCTAATTTAATTTAAGTACATAAAAAATTTCTGTATAAAGCAATCAAGTAAATTTTTTTTTTGTTGTTTACTCATTTATCGTTTAAAAAAATGCTTTAAATTTGATTAAATTAGTCAAGAAAAAAGACGTTAAGTCAGGGAAAAAATTTGTAAAAAAATGAAAAACAGTAATGTTATGCATCGTTTTTCTTTGTTGTTTTTTTTTCTTTTTTCGTTACCGATATCTTTGAAAGACAGTTGGGAAATAGCTAAAGTTTAGTTTTACAGAAAATTTTTTTTAACGGTATTTTTTTTTGTTTACCATAAACATACAATGAAAATAAATAATTTACAAAAAATTTTGCTTGAAAATCAAACAAAAAGAAAAAAAATAAGTTGGTATATTTGAAAGTAAAAAGTGGATTTTATTTATCACTGTTGTTGCCTTCATTTTCTTCTTTATTTAAATGAAGATGAAGCAATATTAGCAATTTACAATTTTTCTTGACTTTGAAAAAAAAAAAATGTAAAGCAAAAGAAAATAAGCAGGTTCTTTAGCAAATCGTTTTCTCAAGTGATTACTTTAGCAGCTAAACGATCCGTCTATTATTTGCCTCTATTCCGTTTTCTTTCGTCTCCATTCCATCTCATCCGTTTTTTGTTCTTTCTTATTCCCTCATAACAGCTTTTGCTGCCATCTTTATGTTTAGCAAAAAAAAAAAAAAAAAAAAAAAAAA